AAAATATAGAAGACATATTGGATGAGGTACAAAAATCATTGTGAGCTGAAGGAAAGCAAGATGGAGGTACCCAATGCTGGAAATACGAAAAATATGGTTTGAATGCCACAAAATTGAGATTTTAGGGTGGCGTAGAGGATACTGATACGAAAGAGGGGAAGGGGGGGGGGGGAGGGGGAGGAAGTGTGGAAAAACTTGAGAAGATTTGCACTTTGACTCCAGCAAAGGCAAAGATATACGCACGTCTCAAGCAAGCCAGAGGTCAAAGCTTTGAGCGGTCCTGGCAGGAGAAGCTCAAGAGTAGTTTTGGGAAGTAGTCGAAAGGTAGACGAAAACTAGCAAAATATGGCGCAAACACTCTGATATTGCTAAATTTACATATTGATAAATTGAGGGAAATTTAGATATTTTTGGTGAAAGGAATAGTCTCAGATTTTTCCCTGATCTCAAAGGGACCGGCGACGTTTCTGCATGGTTTTTTGAAAAACATTCGGAAAGAAAATAAGTAATAGAAAAGCGGAAAGTGAGTTAGAAGGTTGAGATTGCTCTCTGGGTATGCATAGATTTTGATAAAAATCTAATCTGAAAACCTCAAGAACATGATTAGTGTGGCACAATTTTGAAGAAATAAGGATCTAGGAAGATGTGGACATGTCTTGAAGGAGACTCTTGGGAAAAAAAGCAAAACATGCTTATGGATAAGCCTTCAGGGCAGGGAGGGAAGGGGGAGGGGAGCGGGAGGGGGAGGGGGAGGGGGGGGGGATTGCAGCGCAATGGACAGAAGAGCTTTCAATTTCCTCCAAGAAGTTTTCCAAATGTCTTAGATGGCATACTATAAGTCCAAGTTGCACAATCTCAGCAAATTTGGCTATTTTAGATCCAGCAAGCTAATGCTTTGCAAATAGCTATAAATCTTTTAAATGCCAAACATTTGGGGAGCTAAGAAAAGCTCTACTGTATATTTCATTCACAACAACATGTAAAACCTACAGAAATTTCACCTCCTTTCCGTTTTCGCTATTAGCGGATGTTTGCAGACACCCACTTTTTGAATAACCGTAAGAAGAGGCAATGTGCCAAACTTCTACCCACATCCCACTTCACACACGGCCAGACCAAAGTGCCGCAAAGCGGCACTTTGGTCTGGTACTCTATATAAAGCGGAAGCACCCCCATCTGACGTCATCACCTGCGCTAGGGATGGTAAACATGTCCGTCGTTCTGTGCCGGTGCAAGCGCACCGAGCTGATGACACATAACGGCCGGGGATGTCTATCTTAGATGTTGTTGATCAAGTGGCATAACCAAAAGGTGTAATCACTAGACAAGCCAGCTTCCATATAGTTCGAATCGTTTTTACAAGAGCAATTCGACTGCGACTGACTTAGAACAGGTAGATTACAATTTCTCTTAGACCATCATATTCCTTTGATTACTTCAAAAAATTGCAAATCTAAATGCAAAGTTCCATGAATCAGAAACCTGCACATTTCGTTATATTAACTTTACAAAAAGCACCTTAATAGGATGACTCCCCAAATATTCAATTTCTTCGAAAATCTCTGATGAGTTCGCACAGAAAATTAAGAAATAAAATTAACTGATTTGAGCACGAACTTTTACAAGATTTTCACCACACAACCAGCATTTTTTCAGTTCCAACAAGTGCCGCTGAAATTATTGTTAGAAGATTTATTCTGCTCATTTTTTTGACATCTCAAGCTTCTGTATTTCACGCTGAAGCTTTAATTTGGAGTGCATCATAACTTTTCAAAGAAATCAGATATTTTAGCAAAATAATGTGGTCTCCCATGTTTCAATTTTGAGTGCTTAATATGGTTTTCTCACTTCAAGCAGTTGCTCCATATCATTATTTGATGGACTTTTCTGCTTCTGTTTCTTCTGCTAACATATCTCAGCAAGAAAGTTGGAGTTATCCGAATTCCTGCATAAAACGCTTAGTAATTATTTTTATCTCGGATAAATGCACTAAACCTGCTTTCAGGAATTTCTCGCATATAATTCTACTTTCTTCGGACAATCTCTGTCTTTGATTTTTTAAATGGAC